GGGATTTGGCTGGAAGCTGGCAACTTAATCTGGATCTTCCACCATAGCATCAGGAACCCAACTATTCAAGATATCCCACCTTCTGCCTCACAGTGTCTGCATTTGAATGAAGCTGGAATAGCAACCTACCACAGGAATCCAGGCACTCTAATATGGGCTGCAAACATCTCAACTAGTTTTTAATAATTACACCAAGAGACCATCTCTATGGCAGACCTTTATTTATAATTCTTTAAAAGATTGCTGTCGGGGTACTGCACTATGGCTCAACTGAGTTATGTTCCCCTTGTAAAGCATTGGGATCCCAAATGGGTGCCAGTTGTGTACCAAGTGCAACTCCTGGAAGAAGTTCCAGATTCCTGACTTTAGATCAGTTCGGCTCAGCTCTGGCCATTGCAGCCTTTTGGGGAGTGAACGAGTGGATGGAAGATTTTTCATCTTTTTGTTGTTACCTCTCTGTAAACCTGCCTTTCCGATAAAAATAAACACATCTTTTTTTTTTTTTTTAAGATTGCTGTTAAAGAATGTGTGGTGCTTTTTTTCTCCCTTGCAAATTCATATGTTACAATTCTAACTCCAAGTGTGATGGTTTTGGGAGCTAGAGACTTTAAGGAGTGACTAGGCCATGGGGTAGAGATTTCAACAAAGACAATAGTGTGTCTATAAGAAGTCTTCAGAGAGGTCTCACCGCTTTGTCCTGTGAAAACAAACCAAGAACACAGCTGTCCTTCAACCAGAGAGGGAACCTGCCAGACATGAAGTTTGTCATTGCTTCATTTTCAACTTCTCAGCATTCAGAAATGTAAGAGGCGCATTTTGCTAGAATCACTCAGTCATTTTGTTATTGCACCAAGAAAGGACTATGATTGGGCCAGCTTCCGCTGCTTTCCCAGGCCATGTATGAGATGTGCTATAGCGGGGACATGAATGGTGCCTATATAGGATGCTGGAGATTGCAGGCAGAAGATAAGCCAATTGAGCCATGATGAGCCAACAATGTTTTTTTTTTTTTAAAGATTTATTTATTTTTATTGGAAAGTCAGATATACAGAGAGGAGGAGAGACAGAGAGGAAGATCCCCCATCTGATGATTCACTCCCCAAGTGAGCACAACGGCCGGCACCATGTGGATCCAAAGCCAGGAGCCAGGAACTTCCTCTGGGTCTCCCACGCGGGTGTAGGGTCGCAAGGCTTTGGACTGTCCTCCACTGCTTTCCCAGGCCACAAGCAGAGAGCTGGATGGGAAGTGGAGCTGCCAGGATCCCATGTGGGCACCTGTTATGTTCAAGGCAAGGACCCTTAGTTGCTAGGCCAAAATGGCACCAGGCACCCCAACAATGTTTTTTAAACTTGATTTTAGCCCGCAGAAATACTTCTACCTATGTATTTATACTAACTTTGAACAGGAACCATAACCTCTCTCAAAACTCCAATTTGGTAGAAAACATCCTGAGTGACAGAAAAGCATCCACAATGCTGCAACAAGATCTCTGTACTATTTATCTATTAACATGTTCCAGCAACCATCACATAAGCCAGACCATGAATCGTCTCACACTTGTTAAATAAATGATTTTCTTTTTTTTTTTGGAAAAGAAAGAGAAACAATATTTTATATTTAGACAACAGGCTACCCACAATTTAAATGTCCTTCCAAATAGAGAGGTGTGTATGTGAGTGTGTGCATTAGGAAGAAGGCTACAGCTAAGCAGTAAAGAAAAGTGTTTTCAGGCCCAGCACAGTGGCCTAGCGGCTAAAGTCCTTGCCTTGAACGCACCAGGATCCCACATGGATGCCGGTTCTAATCCCGGCAGTTCCACTTCCCATCCAGCTCCCTGCTTGTGGCCTGGGAAAGCAGTCGAGGACGGCCCAAAGCTTTGGGACCCTGCACCTGTGTAGGATACCTGGAAGAAGTTCCTGGATCCTGGCTTTGGATCGGCATAGCATCGGCCATTGTGCTCACTTGGGGAGTGAATCATCAGACGGAAGATCTTCTTCTCTGTCTCTCCTCTCTGTGTATATCTGACTGTATATCTGATTTATCCAATAAATAAATAAATCTTTAAAAAAAGAAAAGTGTTTTTAAAAGCAGAAATTAGAAATTTCATTACTTTGATAAGAAATAGACAATGAAGGTAGAATGCAAGCACTGTGGATATTTTACATCATGGTGCAATATTAGCTGTTAATGTGTAAATCTGGGTGGGCACTCCATATTCTTAGGTGAAAACTGATTATACAAAGTGATTTAAATACTGCCTAGAAAGAAGTCTTTAAATATTTGACAAAAAAGGTAGGATGTCTGTAAATTTAATATTTTTCTCTAAGTACCATCCAATTGAGTTACTGGGTTTTTGTTAATGTGAAACTATTTTTATGTTTACATTTTTTTAATAATATTTATTTTTGATGATAGCTAATTAGGGTGATTAGGATCAAGGGCTAATGAAAGGTGGATGAGATAACCATTTCCACATTGTTTTTTTCCTCTTCCTGTATCTGGGGAAAAGGGAGGGACAAGCAAAGAAGCCACACGCAGCTTCCCCAATGCCTCTGTACCCTGGGATGGAGGATTAGAACCAGTGCCCATATGCAATCCCAGCACATGCAAAGTGAGGACTTTAGCCATTAGGCTATCATGCCAGGCCTAGCCCACATATCTTTTTACCAGTAAACATTTTGAACAATTCTGAAGTAACAAACAATAGAATAAGCACAGTGCTTCAGAACTAGTGATTATAAAAATATAAAATATGAAACTGCAACATCGTGACTACAGATTTGTCTGAATCTCATTACTTATGAAATACAAGTTGATAATCACCACAAAGTCCTTGAAATACAACACTTATCTGTGTTAAAACAAGAAAGGAAGAAATAGAAAAAAATTAAAGCAATTTAGGCTAAGCTTACAAGGACCATTCTATTCAATGTGGCAGCTTTGTTGATTATCTGAAGTACAGGTCTATAATCAAAATATACAATAATCGTACATCAAACAGAACTTAAATCATTATTTCTATCTTAAATTAATGACTATCTTACAGTAGATAATTTTTATAGTTTGAAAAAATTGTATACAATAGAGAATGAAAACAGTGGAAAAATACTAAAATAATGAGGAGCAATATCAGCAGAGGAAGGCATTTGTTTCTAACACTATGAAGGAAAGATCCCAGTAGACAGCTAAATTACACAAAGCTCCAAGTGGATATTTAAGTGTTTAAAAACAAGTAGGTTCAATAACAGACAAAAAATTGCTCTCCTAAGGCTTTTAGTTTTTGATGAGTCAAACAGTCTTCATATCAAAATATACTTTTAATTTAACAATCAAAAAGTGGCTGACCTTCAAATTATAAGTTATACTTCCTTCTCAGACTTCACTACAATTTTGCGGCAGAACAAGAAGAGGAGAGCAGTATTAGGTAACCCAATGAAGGTCAAGTAAGAGTTTTTAAATTTGCATATATACAAGTTCTTTCTACCTCAATAATTTCACCATAATGACTTCCATCCATATCAACTCAGTAAAACTTTATAAAAATAGAATTTTAACTCAACCACTAACAGAGAAGATTTGTGGTTGTGACCTGTGATTTCAGACTTTGTATGTCATCGTTAATTTCTATAACTTATTTTTTTGTATCCATGTGTAAAGGTGAGGCTGTTTTTCCTTAATTAACACTATTTATAGGATTTAACATCAGAAACCCTGTCAACTTAAATAGGTGCAAATATACTGATGAAAACACTGTTAGGAAATGCTGATGAAACTACTATGGTCACATAAGTAGAAGTTTTCTTTTTCAAGTAGCAAAGATCTTTAAAAGGGCTTCTCTAAACTTAGTAAATTAACTAAGACTGTAGGTAGGTGCTTGGCCTAACAGCTAAGCTGCTGCTAGGGACATTCATAGTCCTCAGCAAAATGACGGGTCTCAAGTTGTAGCTCTGCTGTCGACTGTGGCTTCCTGCTAATTAGTGTACTCTGGGAGGCTGCAAGGGATGGCTCAAGTACTGGGGTTTCTGCCACCCAGGTCAGTGGCTGCGATGAAGTTCTTGGCTTTGACCTGGCCCAGCTGTGACAGCTGCGGGCATTTAAAGAGTGAACCAGAGGGTGAATCTATTTATTTGTGACTCTCCTCTCTCTGCCACTCTTCCTTTCCAATAAATAAATATTTTTAAAAATAGAATTAAAAATTACAATTTTACTGATCGGAAATATCCTGAGAATGTAAGTACCACACATATAGTTCATGTAGTAAGAGTCTCCATTTCAGTGAGAAAATACAAAAAGGGAAAATACAAGTTATATGCTATTTAAACATAAAAATATTTTAGTTATATTAAAACATTTAGCAATCATTGGAAACAACAATCATCCTTACAGCAAAACCTTTTTCAAAATGTATCTTTTAAACACTGGTACTATGTCAGGTAGAAAAAAAAAGAGTTGAGATTTTTACGTCTACATTGCAAAATAACTTCATAATACTCTGCAGCAATATAAAATTTTGTATCACCACTGTTAATATTAACATATGTTTCAGTAGCATGCCATATATATATATTCATACACACACATTCTCACTCTTTCTCTCCCACACAATAAACAAAACACATATGTGCTTTTCTGAAACAGAATTAAGGATTCCTAAATGCCTTTCTATTGGGTTATATCCACCAGGTATATTTCTACATAAGCTAATCCAGTCCATTTTATAAAGTTATCTCCATTTTATGTCCAATCTTAATGTATCAGAGTAATAGGTTCTTGTAGCATGCCTCTTTTCTAATAGGCTATTAAAAAAGAACCCATTGTGCTTTCCATTCTTTCTTTAGAAATAAAAACTAATGTGAACTGATTAATTTCTTCTCTCTTCCTTTACCTAGACACAGTCACACACACACAAAAAAGGAAAGGAGTAGACATGGAAAATCATAGGCATCAAGCACTAGCTGCATAATTATATACAGACATAAAAATTATGAAAAAGACTTACTTCATCAGCCACCATACACCTAGAAAAAAATAAGAGCAAATTAATTCATGAAAATCAACAATTTTAGAGGTTCTGATTAAGTAGCTTGCTAAAAAAATAGTGTACAATGTTAATATCCTAAGCCAGAGACAAGTGTTTTCAAGTGTGTCTGAGAACTTGGGCCAGTGCTGATTTTATATAACCCACCAGCTGTCAAGGGAATGTCACTGTAGGGGAATGTTAGAAACCGAGGGCTGCTATTCGCATAACCCACCCATGCAGACTACTAACGGCCAACAGACCACTAACTTCCTTCTTCAAACTTGAAGAATGATCTTCCCCAAGATTAGAAGAACGTTATATTAAAGCATAAGAAAAATAAATGCAAATCATATATTAATATAAACTAAACATAACTACCTAACACTATAGAATAGCTTCAGCTCCATTTTCTTTCTTTCCTTTTTTAAACTTATTTTTATTACAAAATCAGACATATAGAGAGGAAGAGAGACAGAGAGGAAGATGCTCCATCCAATGATTCACTCCCCAAGCGAGCGAGCACAACGGCCTGTAATGTGCCGTTCTGACGCCAGGAGCCAAGAACTTCCTCTGGGACCCCTACAGCGGTGCAGAGTCCCAAGGCCCTGGGCCATCCTCGCAGGCTTTCCCAGGTCACAAGCAGGGAGCTAGATGGGAAGTGGAGCTGCCAGGACCAGAACCAATGCCCATATGGGATCCTGGTGCGTTCAAGGCAAGGACCCTTAGCAGCTGGGCCACCGCTGGGCACCTAAAGCCCATTTTCAAACTGGGTTTTGATTTCTCATTCTATTGGATTAATTTTTTTTTCTTTCTGGTTCAGTCTTATCAACTTGCAGAATGAAATTCTATCCAACAAAAATGGAGGTGAGGGGCCCGGCAGCATGGCCTAGTAGCTAAAGTCCTCGCCTCGAACGCCAGGATCCCATATGAGTGCCGGTTCTAATCCTGGCAGCTCCGCTTCCCATCCAGCTCCCTCCCTGTGGCCCGGGAAAGCAGTCGAGGACGGCCCAGAGCTTTGGGACCCTGCACACGTGTGGGATACCAGAAGAAGTTCCTGGTTCCTGGCTTCAGATCGGCATAGCATTGGCCGTTGTGCTCACTTGGGGAGTGAATCATCAGACGGAAGATCTTCTTCTGTCTCTCCTCCTCTCTGTATATCTGACTTTCCAATAAATAAATAAAAGCTAATGTGACTGAAGGGAAACAAGCAACGCGAAGTAGTAGAAAATGAAGTTAGAAGACAGTTGGAGGCTGGACCGTGCAAAATCTTAGAAGCAATGACAAAGGGTACAGATTTTTCTAAAATCCTTTTAAGAAAGTCATGTTTTATATTTCTTTCAAAGATCTATATTTTCATGTAAAAGGCACAGTCACAGAAAGATGAGACACAGAGAGATATCACTCATGAGCTGGTTCACTCCCCAAATGGCTGCAATGGCCAACGCTGAGCCGATCTGAACCCAGGAATTCTTCTATGTCTCCCACGTGGCTTAAGGGGCTCAAGGACTTGAGTAATCCTCTGCCTCCTTCCCAGAGCATTGGCAAGAAACTGGATCAGAAGTGGAGCAGCCAGGAGACGAACAAGCATATGCAGTTGGAAGAAATCTCTCAGAGTAAGCCTGAGCAGTTAGGAGGTTTCTAAAGTAGATCAGAAGGATCAATGAGTATAGCTACAGAGGTAACAAGAGGTGGTTTGGTTTGGGGCATATTCTGAAAGTAGAAACAGTAAAATATGTTGATTGCGTGGAGGAGGATGCAAACAACAAGTTGAGAATATGCTTAAGTTATTAGCTTGGAGCTGGGACATGACCTAGAATAGGACAGTAGAGGCTGCAGAGTTGGGGTCAGGGCAGAGTAATGATGGAGAAGTTTGATCAAGTGGAGGAACACTTTGAGAATTTGGTGAACAGCATTCAGCAGCTCAGTATCATCATCAGTGACTTCCAGCTCAGCAGCCAGGTCAGCCTCAACGAGAGCTCAATTCTACTGTTACTGACATCAACTTCATGATATGATGATGCCTACACAGGGTTTTAAATACACAGATGAAGGTTGAAATACACAGTGCCACACTAAAGAGTGCCTGAAGGTGGCTCTAGCTCAAAATGAACAAATTAAAAGCAATACTGACATGATGAAGAAATGCAAAAGCCTGTTGGTTCAAGAATTTTCTAAAGTATTTCCAGAAGATACAGCTAAGTATTCAGGCATCGGGAAAGGATTGTTTAGCTTCCTTTCTAAGTACTTTGTCCAGTCTGGGCATGTCTTTGAGCCCTCTGTGGGTCATGGTGACTGACTCAGCATGAGATGGTGACTATGAGCACAGATGCCACTGGATCACATGGGGCTGGGCTCTATGACTGTCCCCTAGTCTTTCTATCCCTGTCATCTGACTTTATGGGAAGGTGGGCTGGAACAGGGCAGCAGGTGTGCCCCAATTGTCCCTGCAGCTGTTTGACCAGTGGTTCCAGGTAACTGGAAAAATACCCCACATTTTCTCTGCATATGTGGCACAAGAAAGTAGCCCCTGAGACTACTAGAATAGGCAAACTGAAGCTCTTTCTAACTTTTATTGAATATTTCTCTTTGCATGAACTAATTTTCTTCCATATATGATGCCATCAAGCCAAAAAAAGAAAAAAAGAAAAATGGATTCAATGTGTGAAGCACTTTAATTTGTTTTGCATATTTTTTCAAGTGAAGTGCATAAAAAATATGTTAACTTCAGCTTTGTTTTCATGGATCTCAATGAGATACATGCATATAATAAAGTTCCAAAATGGTTTTTAAAAGAAACTACTTTAAGCAATAAAAAATGAAGAATTGTGGTACCATTTATGTATATAAGACAGATTGAAAAGGTTCCAGTACTAGAAATGGCAATTAAAGGTTCAGTTTGGAAAGGTACCTTGCTAATAGCTGTTATATAGCTAAGTCAGACTGTTTAGTAGCTAGCTAGATATACAAGACAGGGGTCTGGTAGAGACTGGAAAGGACACAACAAACTAGAGAACTGTCAGAAAGTAAGTGGCATTGGAAGATCTAGTGTATTCTGAAACATGTTGACCTAACTATGATTTATTCTTCTCTGCGTCAAACCCAACTTCAGCTTTCTAAAGTTAAACCTGCAAATGAAGGGCCTGGAGTGGTAGCATAGTGACTAAAGTCCCCCTCTTGCATGTGTTGGGATCCCATATGGGTGCTGGTCTAGTCACCACAGCCCTGCTAATCATCCAGTTCCCTGCTTCTGGCCGGAGAAAGCCATCGAGACCACCCAAAACCTTGGGAGCCTGCACCCACATGGGAGACCAGGAAGAAGCTCCTTGAGGAGTGAATCAGTGGATGGAAGATCTTTCTTTCTGTCTGTCCTTTCTGTATATCTTCCTTTCCAATAAAAATAAATAAATATATATATTTAAATCTACAGATGACTGGATAAAATGTAGGACTCTGGTCTCAAGCCAACTTTCCCTTTATGGGGAACAGGTAGGCAGCTAAACTATCCTAAGGGTAGCTAACCAAGTGTAAAACAGTTTCAGAGTTCTGGGCATAAATGATATCTTGGTTTGCAGATATCTGAAAGCCTTCTAGGTAAGATCAACTTGGATGCCTATGGATGTGCTAGATTCACCTAGCATGAAGTTTATGAGCAACTCTTGCTTGCTTTGGACATTGGTGAAGGCTAAGTAGACAATAGCGCATTATTATTCAGTCACCTCTAGTAGAGCTAGATCCAATCCAACCTCTGAAATTCCTAAAGTTAAAGACAGTTCAGGAGCCAGACTTGCTTTGACCTAAGCACCTAACTTGTCATCCAGAGGAAGACCTGGAAGCAGGCACAGGACAGCATCAGTAGGCACAGAAGGTACCTATGAGGCCGGGGTAATGCTGCTGACATGCATCACCATGGGATCAACTTGGACAAATAACACCCAGGTTACTACAGGAGAGTTGGTGTAAGGCATTACCACATCCAGGGGAACCAGCAGCTTCTGCCCACTATTGATTTTGGTTGGTACAGCAGATAGCAAATGCTCCCAAATCAATACTGGAGCAGTCCCATCACCAATGTGGTGAGGTTAGGAGCATTACAATGCTCTAGGAATTGGAAAGCTCTCAAGCATCCTGTTTTTTGTTATTGTTCAGAAGAGCTGAGGAGGTTAAGGGCATGGAGGGAGCCTGTGTCCTGACTGCTTGGAACCACAGGTTCACTGAAGGCTAACAAATGCTTTTCAAAAAACAAATTGAGATGATGAAAGAAAAGCAAAAACAAAACACTTGAAGGACAGATAAATCCAAAGGACCAAAAGAAGGGTATCTAAAAGAAGAAAGGGTCCCGGGCCCGGCAGCATGGCCTAGCAGCTAAAGTTCTTGCCTTGAATGAGCCGGCATCCCAAATGGGCACCGGTTCTAATCCCCGCAGCTCCACTTCCCATCCTGCTCCCTGCTTGTGGCCCGGGAAAGCAGTCGAGGACGGCCCAAAGCTTTGGGACCTCACACCCATGTGGGAGATCCGGCAGAAGTTCCTGGCTCCTGGCTTCGGATCGGCATAGCATCAGCCTGTTGCGCGCACTTGGGGAGTGAATCATCGGAAGGAAGATCTTCCTCTCTGTCTCTCCTCCTCTCTGTATATCTGACTTTGTAATAAAAATAAATAAATCTTAAAAAAAAAAAAAAAAGAAGAAAGGGTCCCATAAGGAAGACAGGCCACATTGGGTAAATAGTAAAGTTTCTCTAGGTGGAAGAAAGACCTCTGATGGTTAGGTGAAAATAGTTTCAGGTTGGATTGAAGAGAAAAACAAGGATCTATTTACATCCTTATAAGATTAGTTAATTTTAAGACTAACAAAAAAATCTTGTAAGTGTTCAGACAGAAAGAACAATTAATTACCCAAAGAGGGTAAAACGAGGGCTTTATTAGTCTTGTCAGCACTGGATACTACAAAGCATGAAAACTATGTAGACTACTTGATAGCAAAACAGAACTCACAGGTCTTC